CACTAAAGGACATACCCTTCCAAAAGTGCGCCCTTAATTGATAACATTTATTTTAGCTATACGCTAGTACTAACTAACAATTCTTTTTCTTTCTTCTTTTTGGTTTTTGCTTTGGACGGTCACCTCACTAGTGTTTTTAAATAACTTATGCACACCTTTAAATTAATATCTTTATGGGGATTTTAAAGACACTTTTCCAATCAATTTGATACATTTTGAAAAAAATTAAACTTTTATATATACTAATTTTAATACTTAAATTTAAACTTAATTTACAAAAACGACACTCAATTTTCAATAGACAACCCTTACATTAACTAACATCCTAAAATTCTTTATAATGGTTGAACTATTCATTCTACATCCTAAAATAATATTACTTTTTGTCACTAAAAAGAGTATGCACTAATGATTTAGGATTAATTTGTATGATTTATGACAAGCCACTCTTAGCTTGTGATTTGACAAAAAATTAATAAAAATGTATACAAACGTTAAAAACAACATGTTATCCAATCAAATTCTACAAAGTAAAAATCACTAAACAAGTTAAGTAATTTTGCTAAACGGGCCACTTAGCAACATGTATATATATGTACTTTGTAGCATTCCTTGGTAAATAGGGTACTGGTGGACTCCATCCCCCTTTCTCAATATCGAAAACTTTATGTAGCCCAGAGGAACATGGGTCAAATAAAAAAAATCCATGACCACCAACTATATGGACAAGGTGGACAGAGGAAACCCAATTTGATATGCCATTTCTGGGCTCAGTCCAGCAGCTTTTAAATTTTACCTTTGCCACGACCAATTCGACCCTACTTAATAATTCTGATCCAAATGTCCTCCAGCCACAACCTCTCTGAAAATCTTCTCCACCCCATTTTCAGGAAGTTCCTAAACTCCTGTCTGAAGAGACTCAATCTGATTCCTAGCTAGCTTATTGGATTCACCAGTTAGAATAAGTAGAAATACTTCTTTCCCCTTTTTTTTTCCCCTTAAGGTTTAGTTATTTCACCTCAAATTGTGTCAATAAAAACCAAGTTATTCACATGAGAGCTAAATATCGGGTGTAGATAGAATTAGAATTAGACTACACTGTACAATCTCTCTTGAACAATTTTAAGGGCATACTATGCACCTCCCAGTACATTTAAGGAAACTAAAATCCTTTAAACTTTGGCCCCAAAACTTACACTGTGAATAGAACCTACAAAACCACATTATTTGCGATTGATAGGTCTAGCTTTCCAATTATATATTGCATCCTAATAGAGAGCAAAATTATTCCCACCTAATTAAGAACATAATTAATTATTTATCTGCTTTTTTAAAAAAGAGAGAAAACAACATTGGTATTTAATTAGGTGTAGAAAAAGAGACACGGGAGGATAAAGACTTTCTTGGCATAGTCAGAGAAATCTGTCATTGTGAAAGGGAAAACATAGTTATTGGTTTATAACTCTTGTTCTTGCATTGTTAGCCTTTCGTTGGATTAAAGAGATGTTTATATTTTATTCGTAGCATAAAAACTTACTTATGATTTTAGCTGATTATTATTAAAAAAATTTTTAAAAAGATCTTTGTTTTATTCATTAACATGATACTAAAACCAATAAGTATTTGTAAACAAGACAATTTGTAAGTATATATAAAATTAGTCAAAATAAAAGTCTAAATACTTATATTATCCAATAATAGTTTAATTGATATCAACATTTCACACAAACCATATATATATAATAATTAGTACACACTCCGATTCAACACACTACATGACACACTCATTAAAAAATTATTTTTTTTTAATCTAAAATTAAAAATAGACAAATTTAATAATACAATTATCTACACATGATACATGAATCAATTAAATTGATTATATTTATATTATATTTTTAATGACTAAACCAAAAATGTGTAAAAAATATTTTGAACCGAGAGTGTACCAATAATTTTCCTATATATATACCCGTTTTGTGATTAAAATGTGCTAAGATAGATCACAAGACATCTCGTTTTTAAATATAAAGTGCATGGATGCATGTGTGTTGTTGGATTAATTTTGGGTGTGTGTGGGACATCAAGTTACAAAGACGAGTGAAATGAGGCAACCAAACGAGTCCATGTGAAGGCTCCGGTTATTTTGGGTCACTGCAAACAGGAGACAGCAAAATGACAACGACCATATGGGTGAACCTTTTGAAATATCATCAAGATAATTAATTTGCATACGGAAGAAGATTTTTCAGTCTAGATTTTTTGACAGAAAAAAAAAAATATACTAAATAAAATTTTAATTCCTACCTCCTCCTTCTCAAAATAATTAATTTTTTATTTTTTAATTAAAATTTTAAAAATAATTTATGTATTTATCTATATTATCTTTAAAAAAAGTTTTTTAAAAAATCAAACATTTTATAATAAGATAATTAATCAAAATAAATGAATAATAATATGGTTAAATTAGGAAATAAATAATTATTTATCTTAAAAAATAAAAAAAAACAATTAATTTGACAAAAACCTAAAGTCAAAAATAATAATTATTTCAAAACAGAAAAAGTAAATGATAAATAATATATTTATAATATATATCACATAAAATTGTAAATTTATAA